CCCCAAAACCCCAAAACCCCAAAACCCCATGTGCAATATTTTGCTGAGAATTAAAGTTCGATTATTCTTGAAAGTAATATATAAAATATCAACTCATTTTTGATATAATTCTCTCCAGTGTTCTGTTCTTTCAAAAGCTTTTGGAGCAGTAAATACTCTGCTTACAATACTTTCGAAAAGGTTCCCATCATTTGGAGCAATCATGCTGTCCACCAATTCTTCACTAGGTGCCATTCCATAAGTTAATTATATTATATGTCTCTTAAGGTCTTAAAGACAAGACTTAATTTATTTTCTTACACTTTAAGCATGGTCTGCATTAAGATAATTTACCTCAAGCCAGGTTCCAATATTTTGATTAATTCTAGTTAGAGCATCCAATTTGAATAAAAGATTAAAACCTTCAATTGTGTCTGCATTTTTAGTCTAGATAGAGATTTTCTCTGCTTGCTCTTTGAAATCACTTACTACCATCAAGTCGCCATATGCTCTAGCCAAATCATGCATAAAGAAAACCTGAGTATCATTCCAAGCATCTAATGGATGAGTATCTTAGTCTTGCAGTTTTGATGAGAGCTCCCAGGCTGTTCGTTAAAGTAACAGATTAGCTCTGAATTCAAGTAGATCTATTAAATTTTAATAGACCATAAATTCGTCATCATTAGTAGCCAAGCACTATTATCCTTCAACAGGTTCAGTTTTAATCCATTCGCAGGTAAAAGTTTTCTTTATCTTACCTTTCATTTTCATCTTAAAGACATCTAGCAAATATTTTCCAGTCTACTACAATAAAATATTATTGTCCCCTTCCCAAGTTTAGTTTACATCCATATTATTCATGATAATGCTAAATCTAGAGTAGTAGGAGTAGCCCAGACCACCACATGCTTATCTACATTCTTATAATCCTTTGTATCCATTCCAGGTAGACATAGCCTTCATAACTGAGATTAGTGAATGAACCTCTGCTAATTTTGGATTATTTGGCACAAATAACCTCTTGGTATTCTTACCCCAGAGTTCTAAGACTCTCTATTATGCAATTTAGTAGCCTATTGACTAAGCATAAATTGGAAAGAGTCTGTATTGATGTAATGGGTACTCTAGTAGTGAAGTTTCTTCAGCTTAGTTAGGCTTACCAAATTGGGTTCTAAGAGCTGCAAATCTTAGAGCAATTTTAAGAGCATATTATAGGCCAACAGAAGATCCATTGATGAGTAAAATTCTTCCTGCTGAAAGGGCTCCAAGAGAAAGACCAAATCTTTAATCAGCACTTTCTATCTTACTTTCAAACTTTCCTTCTTCATTTATGTTCGAGAATCTATTGAGCATGTTTTATTTTGGGATTCTATAGTTATTAAAGATAATGAATCCATTGTCTATCCCATCTAAACCCTATTTTTTACCACAATCTCCTACAGTTATCCCATTGAATGGCATGTGATTCTCTTTGTTCCTTAGAGGGATAAGAAAAGCGTGGGGACCGTGACAAATTCCATCAACATATAACTGAGCGAAAATAGCTGACGTATTGGAGCTTTTAGATGCTCCGCCAATCCAAAACTTCATTGCATCCTAAGATGGAGTATGGAGTACGAATTCTTATGTCTCCTTATCATAGGTTGCAGTAGTCTTAATACCTCGAACATTGGATCCATGACCTAACTCTGTCAATCCAAAACATCCAATATCCTCTCCATCCTCACATCTCTTAGCCCATTCATCATGTATCTCAGTTCCAAGATTGATGATGGTTTTATAGTATAATTAGAGATTAACTACAAGCTTTGTTGATAAGGATTCATCATACAAATATACTGGAAATATAAATGCTATGAATAGTGAAGTATCATTGAATACCTCTCTAAGTGGTAATATTTTTCTTGCCTCTGATAAATACTTAATTAATCTTCTATTTACATTAGCTCTTTTATTTTCTCTAGGGTCCTCTTCGAATGTTTCTTACTAGAAAATATGCTTATTATCTTTGATAATATTCTCGTATTTAGCATATAATTCAAGATTAATCTCCCTTTATATAAATCGGTTGACTAGCTTCCCATCAAGAGTACTAAGGCTTTTATAGTACTCAAGTTTATTAATTTTTTTTGTCTGCGTAGATGGCACCTCGAAAGTAGTGAAATGGTTCTCTATAACTTTTAATCCTCTCATAAATCAAGTTAATTTAATTTAACTTGGTATAAAGTTTATAGATATACATAAAATTACCTCACAAAAAATGTGATGACGAATTTTTTTAATTAATTATCAATACATGATAAATCTAAGAATCTAAGATAACCTGGGGTTTTGGGGTTTTGGGGTTTTGGGG